CGCCATGTGACCTTCTGCCCTCTCTAACGTATGAGATCAGGAACAGCAGCACGCCTGCTAGCCTGGGTTTTAGTGCTTCCATGGTTACTATCACAGGTGAGTTGGTCACGTCTCACTAAAGAAAACAGAGTCCTACATGATCTGACCAGGACTGAGTCGTGCTGACAGCAAAGAAAAATCGCGGCGAGCTGGATGAGGAGGCCTGCTTCCAGCCTGCTTCCAGCCTGGCCAACAGTCTCGCAGATCGCTTTGGGATACAAGCTTTAAAGCTCTGTGCTAATGCAACAACAGGCAGCAGGATGGTTTTGTGGCGTGCTCGTGCAGGAATCATCTTCTCTAAAATGTGAATAATGATGGTGACCAACTTCAGACAGAAGAGGAACGCTACCTGACAATCCAGCCTCAAAAATAACTGATAAAATAAAAACAACATTTTAAATACAAATATTCTTTTAAAACTTTGTTCAGCATTATTTTGCAGTTGAACTGCAGATCCCACAAAGGCGATGTCCTCACTTGAGACACTCGTCTAAGACCGCGGCCGCCTTCAGTAAGCGATGAGCTGCACCGTCTGAACGCTTACAGCTACAGACATGAGTGACCATCACCATGTGGTTCAAATAAGGGCTCGTTTCTTTCCTCCTGCTTTATTTTTTAATTAAAAAGTTTATCTAACCAAAGATCTCTTTTCCAGACTTCTCAGTCCTAACCAGCGGTTTGAACCTTAACCAGAGCTTTAAGTGGTTTCAGGGTTTTTAGTGGCGCTGAGTGGATTTCTTCAGATCACTGACTCAGACTCTGGTGTTAGGTTTGAGTTTTCCCACCTACGTTTGGCTGCCTTCACTTACATCAGCATGTTTTTGGACCTCACACTACCAGATTCTTATTCGTCTGTCTGTTGACCTACAGTACGGACACAATTAAACCCTCACAGAATGAAAACGTGAATGAAACCTGCAGAGCGTGCAGAGGGCGGAGGTGATGATTGCAGCCAGGCTGAGAGAACCCGGCTCTCCGTTCTCCCGCAGGAAAACTGTGATGCAGTGCTCGATCTCCTGCAGCTGCTCCTCACACGCCGCTACTGTGGTGCCCTCGGCCTTCAGCCGCTCTGCTTGGTGCACCACGCGCTCGTTGGTGTCGGCCACTTGGTGCTGCAGAGTCAATTCCACACTGGAGAGAAACTGGCAGGAGGCAGCAGAAGGTTGTGGAGCAAACAGCAGCTCGTATCTGGAAAGAGAGACACACATTTAGCTGGTATCATGAGTTACATCACCATGTGATTCATGCTGCTGTCTCATGAACTGCAGGTGACTCAGGTGAAGAGAACTATCATAGGTGATATTTTTAGGTGTGTAACTTGGACCTGACGGTGGGTCTCTGGGGTGCTTCTTCACCACAAACATGACTGGTCACCAGTAAGGCTGGTACCAGCTAAGCACATACAGTCCTGGGGTTAACCAATGAAAATGCGTGGCTCCTTACTGTCTGTAGATGTGCTGGCAGTGATCTGCTGTCATGTCTCTCAGCAGCTCTTCCAACCAGGCCTTCCACTGGTGGGCCCTGTGGAACACCAGGGTAGCCCGTGGGTACAGCAAAGCCACTGTGGCGTAGCTGTGAAGCTGCTCCAGGGAGCTGCGGAGGGCTCCGCGGCGCTGCTGCAGCAGGGTGCTCACCTCCGCCTCCAGGCTCTCACATTGGCTGATCAGGTGGGCCTGACCTGCATTTTGCAAGAAGGCTGTAGCTGGCACATAGCTGGGGGGGCCTGA